AACATGCTCGAGCATCCCGGTACGAGAGCAAAATAGCTGAAAAGACGCTTGAGCCACCCGATGAGGGTAGCTAAAAGCTAACACCTAAAACTAGTCGACCAAAATTAAGCAAAAAGACCCTCCACTCTTCATTCCGAAAAGCAAGAGGCTCGGGGCTACATCCAGATAGGAATACTTTTTCCTCGAGCAAGCACAAGCGCCACTCAAGAAAGCACTTTCGGATACAAGTTTGTCAAGGCAACATTCTATGCCGAGTCGTTTTACATAGCGCAGTGTGAAAAATTGTCAACACAAAGATCTACATCTAACAAGTCATAGCGCCGACAAAGCACTCGACGGATCACAAAAGAGGAAGAAAAGAAAAGTACTCGACAAATCGAGGGATTTCGTCAGATAACGCATGAGTTGTTTATGAGGCGAGTACAACCACGACATGCACATATGACGTCCGGAAGCAATAGCGAGCAAAAGATTAAGATATATGCATATATACATCGAATACACATGCACATACGGATCTGCATGCATGCAAATGAGGAAGCCATCAATTTATTGGACACATAAATCATGATGGGACACGAACGATCCAACAAGGTGCAAGCACACGTCAAGTCATATGCAGGGCGTCATCACATCTACAACTCAAATATCGAGCCAAATCGTAACCAAGCCACGAGCGACAAGTCGTCCGAGACCAAAGATAGCAACTCGTCCGCTCGAATGTCCGACTACTTGAACACACGAGATGTCCAACCATGCATCAAGACAGATAACAAGCAAGCCAAGACCGACTACTCGGCTAGAGAAGTCCGAGTACTCGGATACGATTTAAGCAAGAAGAACACGCGATCTACATAACAACTCGGATACGGAAGCCAAGCCAAAAGAGGAAGGCACACAAGAAAACCCAAAGCTGCAAAGCTAGACAAAAGTAGAAACAACTCGGTTTGATCAAAAAAAGAACGCCGATGAGGTACGGCAAGAACCAAGACAAGCTCGAGAAAGAACCGGATTGATCAAAAGGAACCCCGACAAGGTACGGCAAGTACCAAGACAAATCCAGAAAAGAACCCGGATCGATCATAAAACAACCCGAAGAGGTGCCGCAAGTACCAAGACAAATTCAAGAAGAACCCGGATTGATCGAAAAACAACCCGGATAAGGTACATACAAGTTCGGAAAAGAACACGGACGAAGTGCAAACAACTCCGAAGAGGTACATCTAGAACCGTAGAAGTCTAGAAAACAACTCGGATGAATAAAAACAACTCGGAAGAGCATCACGACTTAGTCAAATCGAAAACAACCACGATAAGGTACATACAAGTTCGAGAAAGAACACGGACGGAAGTGCAAACAACCCGGAAGAGGTACATCAAGAACCGTAGAAGTCTAGAAACGACCTGGATGAATAAAAACAACTCGGAAGAGCATCACGGCTTAGTCAAACACTAAGCTCGGGGGCTCGGCATTCGCTTCAACTACGCTCGGGGGCTCGAATTCAAGGATGAAAGACCAAGAATACAAGTACTCAAGACTACAACAAAGACAACACATCAAGACCCTTCATCTGATTTCTATTCTAAAGAAAAGTACTCGGAGAAGGCTCGGGGGCTGCGGGATACATAACCCCAAAAAATTTTTGAAGACAAGAATCTGGACCCTCCAACTTTTGTAAGCAAAAGCAAGAGGCTCGGGGTTACACTTCAAAGGAGTGCAATTTTTACGAAAAATTGCACCCACCGAAAAAGAACTCGGAGCAACCAAGAAGACTAAAGGGACCCTCTGGCTTCTTGTCCCAACAAGCAAGAGGCTCGGGGGCTACACTCACTGAGTGCACTTTTATCCAAAAGTGCACATCAGCCGAAGAAAAGACAAAGAAGACCATCTCAAGGTTTCACTTCAAGAAGAACCTCGAACGGATTTACAACAACTCAACGAAGACTAAGAAGAACAAGAAGGCTTCCGAAGCTCATCCATGAGATGCTCGGGGGCTTGTCGATACGAGACCCATGGGGTTTCCCACGGAGAAGAGAGAAGAAGACCTAGTCCAACTAGAATTCCCTACATGTAATCCTACTAGAACTAGTTACACATAATCCTACTAGGATCTCTACTTTGTAACCGACTAGGACTCCCGCCTCTTCTAGACTATATAAAGGAGGGCAGGGGTCCCTAGACCTATCTAGAGCGACAGACATAACCGACAGAACTCACAACCACAACAAATAGCGCAGGGCGCAATATACTATCCACCCCACACTGGACATAGGGCGCCGTGATTTTCCGGCGTACCGAACCAGTATAAATCGTTGTCTCCCTGCGTTTACCATCGAGTTCCTACAAATGCCGATACCCCTCCGAACAAATCACCGTCCCGGGTACCCCGTGACGGGTTGCCGGTGGTAAAACATCGACAGCTATCGATGTTTCACCACCGATAGCCTGCCACGGGGGTACCCGGGGCAGTATGTTCGGGCTTCGGCGTATGCTGAACTCGATGGTAAACGTAAGAGACAGTCGATTTATCCTGGTTCAGACCCTCGATCGTAGATCGAGTAACGACCCTACGTCCAGTCGGCGTTAGCCTTTGCATTGGATTGATTATGAAGTGTTATGTTGTACAATTGTCGTCTCCTTCTCTTAGGAGCCCTGTCCTCCTTTATATAGTCAGGAGGCCAGAGTCCTAGTCGATTTACAATGAGATTTCCTAGTAGGATTACTTAATAGTTCTACTACTAAGATTACATGGGAAGAATCCTAGTTGAACTAGATCTTCTCTCTCCCTTGCGGGGTATCCTGTGGGTCCCGCATCGACAAGCCCCCGAGCACTTCATGGTTGAGCTCTGAAAGTCTCGCTTTGCTCCTTCAAGTCTTGTTGGGTAGGAACAAAATGTTATCCGAGTGCTTTCTGGAGTGAAACCTTGTAGCGCTTATTGGGATCTTTGAGTGGTGAGTGCTTTGTGAAGAAAAAGTACATCCATCTGGTTGTAGCCCCCGAGCCTCTTGCTATTTGGAACAAGGAGCTGGATGATCTTGTCTTGAAGTTGCTCTGATTGTTCGTTGAAGTTTTATCAAAAAGAACTCGAATATGGCTCGTTCCGGGTTCTTTTTGTCGTAATGTTTTGAAGTGGTCTGCGTTGAGGAAGTCTTTTGGTGACGTGCGTTTTTTCGAAGAAAAAGTGCACTCACTGAGTGTCGCCCCTGAGCCTCTTGCTATTTGGAACAAAAAGTTGGAGGGTCTTGATCCTTTATGTTGTTTGAAAATTTGTGTTCTGAAGTAGTCCCCAAGACTTGGATTATGTCATCATCCGAGTAGTTTTTGTGGCATCTTTCTGAAGCGGCCCTTTAGTCTTGGATTAAACCATCATCCGAGTAGTTTCGCGGCATGCAGCCTCCGTTCTTATGTCCGGGTTCTTTTTGGGTGAATTCTTGTCTTCAAAAAATTCTGGGGCTATGTATCCCGCAGCCCCGTGCTTTCTCCGAGACAACGATTTATACTGGTTCGGTACGCCGGAAAATCACGGCGCCCTACGTCCAGTGTGGGGTGGATAGTATATTGCGCCCTGCGCTATTTGTTGTGGTTGTGAGTTCTGTCGGTTATGTCTGTCGCTCTAGATAGGTCTAGGGACCCCTGCCCTCCTTTATATAGTCTAGAAGAGGCGGGAGTCCTAGTCGGTTACAAAGTAGAGATCCTAGTAGGATTATGTGTAACTAGTTCTAGTAGGATTACATGTAGGGAATCCTAGTTGGACTAGGTCTTCTTCTCTCTTCTCCGTGGGAAACCCCATGGGTCCCGTATCGACAGTATCACCTTGTGCACATGTGTTAGCATATTTTCACAAACATTTTAAGGGTGTTAGCAATCCACTAGATCCTAAATGCATATGCAATGAGTTAGAGCATCTAGTGGCACTTTGACAACCGCATTTCGATACGAGTTTCACTCCTCTTAATAGTACGGCTATCAATCCTAAATGTGATCACACTCGCTAAGTGTCTCGGTCACTAAAATAAAATGGCTCCTACAATTTATACCTTTGCCTTGAGCCTTTTGTTTTTCTCTTTCTTCTTTTCCAAGTTCAAGCACTTCATCATCACCATGCCATCACCATTGTCATGATCTTCGTCATTGCTTCATCACTTGGAGTAGTGCTACCTATCTCATAATCACTTTGATAAATTAGGTTAGCATTTAGAGTTTTATCAATTAACTAAAACCAAACTAGAGCTTTCAACAACTGAGTTCAAATGGAAGTAAAAATTACTGAGTGTCAGTTCAAACAGTAAAGCAGTGCACCAATTAGCAGATTGCAGATGGAATCATTCTTGCCATCCACAAATATATTAATTGGTTAATCAAGTATTATATATGTCAATGTAGTATTTATATCACAGAAAAGTCTGAAAAGCTGGGAATGGTCATGGACCTACACGTACTACCCTTCACAGCGACAGGCAACGAACTTACTCGCTCCAAGAATATTCAAACGCCCGTGTAAAGTGCACCGCCACCACGTGCATCTCCTCCCCCCCAAAGACTAATAGAGCAATATTCTCTTTCTCTAGAGATTGGAGTCGCACGCTGTGGCCACTAACTTCACCAACCCCCCACGCACTAAACCCTAAATCCTAAACAAACTTACCAATTAGTTGCATCCCAAAATGCCAAATTTTTTAAGATTTTTCGTCACATCGAATATTTGAACGCATGCATGAAGCATTAAATATAAATAAAAAATAAAACTAATTATACAGTTTAGACAAAATCCACGAGACGAATCTTTTAAGCCTAATTAAACTATAATTAGACACTAATTGTCAAATAACAACGAAAACTGCTACAGTAGCATTTTGCAAAAAAATTCCCATCTAAACTGGCCCTATATAGCTGCCAAGTCGTCCATGGGTTGGGGAGTCCGCACTCCGCAGCTTCTTCCATTTCACAACTGACCCCAATAAGCAGCGAGAGCAGAGAGTCGTCGAGGTCGTCGGCAACATGTCGTCGTCCGGGACGATGCCACTGGCGTACCAGACGTCCGCGGCGTCGCCCGACTGGCTGAACAAGGGCGACAACGCGTGGCAGCTGACGGCAGCGACACTGGTGGGGCTGCAGAGCTTCCCTGGCCTGGTGGTGCTCTACGGCGGCGTAGTGAAGAAGAAGTGGGCCGTGAACTCCGCCTTCATGGCACTCTACGCGTTCGCCGCCGTGTGGATCTGCTGGGTGACCTGGGCCTACAACATGTCGTTCGGCGACAAGCTGCTGCCGCTGTGGGGCAAGGCTCGCCCGGCGCTGAACCAGGGTTACCTCGTGGGGCAGGCCGACCTCCCCGCCACGGTGCACTACCTCGCCGACGGGAGAACCATCGAGACCCCCGCCGCGGAGCCGCTGTACCCGATGGCGACGGTGGTGTACTTCCAGTGCGTGTTCGCGGCCATCACGCTGATTCTCGTGGCCGGGTCGCTGCTGGGACGGATGAGCTTCGCGGCGTGGATGCTGTTCGTGCCGCTCTGGCTCACCTTCTCCTACACCGTCGGCGCCTTCTCCGTGTGGGGCGGCGGCTTCCTCTTCCAGTGGGGCGTCATCGACTACTGCGGCGGCTACGTCATCCACCTCTCCGCCGGGTTCGCCGGCTTCACGGCGGCCTACTGGGTGGGTCCCCGGGCGCGGAAGGACAGGGAGCGGTTCCCGCCCAACAACATCCTGTTCACGCTCACCGGCGCCGGGCTGCTGTGGATGGGGTGGGCCGGGTTCAACGGCGGCGGGCCGTACGCCGCCAACGTGGTGGCGTCCATGTCGGTGCTCAACACCAACATCTGCACCGCCGTGAGCCTCGTCGTCTGACCTGCCTCGACGTCGTCTTCTTCAAGAAGCCCTCCGTCGTGGGCGCCGTCCAGGGCATGATCACCGGACTCGTCTGCATCACGCCCGCCGCAGGTGATCCCATCGTCGTCCCTGCCTCTGATTCTGATTTTTTTTTAATTTTCTCCTCTTCCTCGATCGGAGGTAAGGAGATACGTGCGTGTTGGTGTGAACATACATCGTGCTCGCTCTAGATTCTTAAGACCAACATATCCTGGGTATGCAAACTAGACTACGGCGTTGAATGGTTGACTTTGAATTCAAAAATGGTTTTGGTGCCCAGCAAAGCAAAACGGAGGCGGGTTCCCTGCAGAAGCAACATGCATGAGGCCACTGCCATTGCGGACGTACGATATGCATGCATGTGCATTGCGTTTACCATTGCATGCGTCAGTAAAACGCAGTATTAGTACTCCTTTTATTTGTTTCAGAAAAGTGAAACTTGTCTGGCTAGCCTTTTTTTTTTGACAGAGTTTTCTAGGAAAAAACGCAACAGCATATGTGATTAGTTTTAATTTGTTGGATCTGGCATGGAATATGCCTTGATAGTACATTAATCTAATTGGTATTGAAAGTGGCAATATTTTTATTTATAATTTTAATCAGAGTTACAAAAAAAACTTGACTTAAACATGACGTACGGTAAAAACAAACTATAGTTATCGATCGGTACAATTACCATGGTGACCTCTGTTGCTGGTGCACCTAACTCAAATGTCCTGATCAAGTTTCTTATTAGCCGTTGGTCCGCGCCAAGTTGACTATTTTGTACAGATAATAACCAATAGTATATATATATATATATATATATATATATATATATATATATATATATATATATATATATATATATATATATATATATCACTAATGACGATAAGTTTGTAGTAGTTATACTAATCGAGTCTCCAATTAGTGCAACGCCACATATGTACGTAGAGAGTATCCACAGAATCTTCTTCTTTTTTTCCCTCCCTGATGTGACTGGTATATATACATAAAAATAAAATACTGAGCCGCACAGTTCCGTCAGGAATCGGGAATCTCATGTGTGTGCCAGTTTATTATCGTACCTGCTTTGCTTATTTGTCAGTACTTATCAGTAAAGTCAAAGTCAAATCTTGTCTCTTTTTTACATTTCCTTTGCACACTACGGTACTACTTGTGGACAAAGTTACAATTAATTATGTATGACACCGAAAGGTAAAGAAAACGCAACTTGCTTGTCAATTGCGACGTTCATATATACTTCACTGTCTGCTGTCGGCATTATTATATATATACTTAGTTGCGCCTAATTTTGTGTACCAATATAATGACGATTTTCTTGTACGCATGTAAACATGGTTTAATTATCTTTGCCGATATACCATGAGAATGAGCTAGATATCTGACGGATCGAATGGACATGCATGCAATGCAGGGGTGGTGCAGGGTTGGGCAGCCATGGTGATGGGCGTGCTGGCCGGCAGCGTCCCCTGGTACACGATGATGATCCTGCACAAGCGGTCTCGGCTGCTGAAGCACGTGGACGACACGCTGGGCGTCATCCACACGCACGGCGTGGCGGGGCTCCTGGGCGGCATCCTCACGGGGCTCCTCGCCGACCCCACCCTGTGCGCGCTCTTCCTGCCCGTCACCAACTCCCGGGGCGCCTTCTACGGCGGCACCGCTGGCGGCGCGCAGCTCGGGAAGCAGCTGGCGGGCGCGCTCTTCATCATCGGATGGAACGTGGCCGTCACCTCCATCATCTGCGTCGCCATCAACGCCGTCGTCCCGCTGCGCATGACCGAGGATAAGCTCGAGGTCGGCGACGACGCCGTCCACGGCGAGGAGGCGTACGCGCTCTGGGGCGACGGCGAGCTCTACGACGTCACCGAGCACGTCCCGCGCGGCGCCGCCGCCGTCGCGCCCGTGTCCACGACCCCGAATTGAACTAGTTGCTACTTGTGCATTGTTAGTGCGTGCTCGACGACCATGTATATTGCTCCATCCATCCATCCATCCATCCATGGCATGCAATGCATGCATTGTGTTGATGACCATCCGTGTGACTAGGCATTGTTCATTGTTCTTCTTCTGCTGAATCAAACGTGGCTTCTGCATGTACAATACGTTCCTTTGTAATACTTACTACAGATGAGAGACATGCGAATTTACAAGCATGCATGTAATCGATCATCAACGTAGAAGAAGTTTGCATTATTTAGATTTTTAAAATTTGGCAGATTATTGTTATCTTGGGGTTCCTATTTTTGGAGGACGTGCAGTGCAGCAGCGGCATTTCCTGCCGTCCTCACGAATGCGGCTATAACATGAACGCATCGCCGAGATCTATCGACGATCTGGCCGGCTCTCTGGACGAACCTAGATAGTTACCGGGCAACCTGCCATGAAGCGTTCGGCGGCATCCACCGTACCCCTCGTCCGTCTCCTCCTCCTCCTCGCCGTCGCAACGGCGTCCGCCCGCCACCACCGGCGGCATGGCCGGCGCTGCGGAGGCAGAACACGCCGCCAACTACCTCGTCTACGTCAACCCACACCCGCCGGGCGTCGACTGCCAGGCGTACCAGCTCGGCATCCTCGCCGCCGCCCTCGGAAGGTACGTGCACCGCCATCGATCTCTGAATAAATGCATCGTCGGAACGGAAACCTCATCGTGATCCATGATGCATGATCTATCTGATGTGCAGTGAGGCGAAGGCGAAGGCGGCGATCCTGTACAACTACAGGAACGTCATGAGCGGGTTCTCGGCGAGGCTCACGCCGCCGGAGCTGGAGGCCGTCAAGAGTAATCATGCTTTTATCTGTCTATTTATTTATTTATGGATCACCACGGCAGGAATCATTACTGATTATTGTTTGTTTTGTGGATGCAGAGCAACCTCAGGTGAACTGGGTGCTGCCGAGCGCGACCTTGTCTCTGATGAGCAGCAAGTTCGACGGCGTCAGCTAATCCCGTCCGCTTCCTCCAGCAGCCAACAAGCACATCCATCGCCAACCATAAAATAAATCTCATCTCATCTTTGAATTTGTTTGTGGGTGTGTGATTGGTTGCTTGCATTAAACCTTGTACATCACAAAAAGCCAGTATATAAACGTATACAGTGTCTTGGTGTTATATATGGTATCCTGCACATGCAACCTTTGTTTGGTAAAACTTATATGTTTTTGTTTTACGTTATGTTGCATGAAGTCACCTCCATGTTATGGTAGTTGTCTCATGTTCTATTAGTCGTTGACTAGTTGTAATGTTTTGTCTAGTATTATGTCTTGTAGAAATTTTTAATTAGGCTATTCAACCCCTCACCGCACCCCACCCCTCCTCACCATCTAGCCATCCAAAGATTCCTTTCAAGGAAAGCCATCCCCGACGGTAAATTTCCCCGTTGCCATTATAATTTGGGTACGGAAAAATAAAAACTAAGGCCCCAGTACTAATATTTAATTAGCTATCTACAATACTCCATTGCAAATTATACTTCCCTTGGGCTTTAGCCTAAATCAAACTTCTTTAACTTCAATCAAGTTTATAGAAGCATACAACCTTAAATAGTTTTATTAAACAATTTTCATAAAATATATTTTGGTTTTGATAGAGTATTTATTTAAACATGTAGGTGTTAATATGTTTTTAATAAAAACAATAATCAAATTTAGAGTAGTTTGACATAGAATAAAGCCATAGTTATAGTAAGTTGGAATGGAGAGAGTACCTGCTAACTATTACTAGATAATTATTAGCATTGCATTCGGGACATCCTAGCTAGCTCATATACAAAGCCACCTTATAATTAGCACTTTGCTTACATGCAAAGAGTGATAAGAGGAGGAGAGAGAAAAGATAACTCTTGGTTTCCAGCTAGGATCCAACGAATTAGGCTAGTCTCGGTTTCATGTTCTAGTTTTCGATACACTCGTATTTTGAAAAAAGTGCAGAAGAGTTCATCTCCCTCTCTTCATCAATACACTGTCATGTGTAGCGTATTTAATGTCATGTTAACGTATTTAATGCCGATAAACCCTCGTTAAGATTGACCTTAGGAATTTTCCTCGAAGGTCCACTCACATCTTCACCACTTCCATGTTCCCTCCTCCGCACCGATCTGGTACAGCCCTGTGGGGCATTGGTCGAGGGCAGCGGTGCCTCGGACCCTGCGGCATTGGTCGAGGGCAGCGGCGTGGGGCACGGTCGCACGGAGACGATAGGACGTCGGTCAAGGACGAGGATATGCGAGGTGCTGACTGCTGAGTGATAAGTTTGTCCCTAGCAGCGTCAAGCTCCTCCTCCACCGCCGCGCCATTCGAATCGTGTACGACCCCAAGTACTAAGCAAGGACCTGCTTCGAGTTCGAGATCAAGGCGGTTACTCCTCCCGTGTCGTCTGCACAGTGCACACCGCTTCGATCGACATGCCGGAGCTGATGTTGTGCCGAGAAGAACACGTCTTCCTTCCAACAGTGTGCTGGTGCTGGTGCTTCTGATCCAGTTTCGAAGTGAACATGCATGGGTGAGTACAGTAGCTGCTAATAATTATCTTCTTGGATCCAAACAAGTCTAGCTAATAGTTTAGCTAATTGTTATGAGTACTCAACCAATAACTATTTCACTAGTTGGATCAAACTAGCTAATATTAGCTGTGACCAATTAGCAGCTAATGGCCAAACAGGTCCTAAGACTGTGTTCCTTAGATGACTCGTCATTCAGTGCATACTACGTACATATACTATGAAAAAACATATGTTCTCCATCTGAGCCTGCATACTACGCACATATACAAAGAAAAAGCATAGGCCACACACACGCATCTTGTACTTGGGAGACCCGCCATCTCTGACTGCACCACCACGTATAACAGAAGCTAAGCAAAAGGCTGTGAAAGACCAGTCGATCAAGCTCACTGCTCACTCGTTGAGCTCGCCATCCGTGTCACTGACTCACTGTCCAGGTCCTCCTGCAGGCCATGTGGAAGGTTACGCTATGCCAAATATCAACACTTAAACCGCTAGTGGATGCATATGCATACTCTAATCCCTGCCACAATTCCTCCATGATCCAACCCACTATAATATGTTGTCAAAAAACCCACCGCTATAATATGAAAACTCAATAACATACTCCAACATGAAACAAAGATATTGATGAGCATGGAGGACAATGTGTGGCTTCCAATAGAATCAAGTCTGAGTTCTGCCTACGTAGGGACAAAAACGGTAGGGTATGGTCTAGAATCCAGAAATACCTTACCACTTTCAATTTCACATTTCTATCTGAAATCAAAATCAGATAAGTCATTTGGGAAAACGATTAATGTATGCCAGGATGTCGCGAAAGCAGACCTATTTGGCTGCAAACATGTCAATAACCATCGAGAAACGGTAATTGATATTAGGGAAATGTAACCGACTCAGAACAGAAAACAAATATGATGGCCAAACAATATTACTATACTACCAAGAGGATGAGAGATAAAGAAACAATACAAAACTAGTAGCCAAGGTTTCTAGCCCATCATCAGCGAAACCCACATCGAACCAAGCTGGGGGGGGAAGGAAAAGATAGCACTAGAGGTTCCTGCGAGAACCCCTGGTACTAGCAGTCAAGTGAGCTGGCCCAATCAACCTAGCAAGAGTGCAAGACATGGGTGATGCTATCAGGCGCCTGTGTTCGTGCATGCATCTCAAGCCAATGGGCTGAAGGCATATCATGTTATATATGGGCCTTTTGAGATGGGTATCCCACCAGGAAATTCCTGGTTAAAGACGGGATACCAAAGAATCAGTCAAGAAAAGGCTCTACCAATTTCAACCTTGTTTCCTCCTGCTGGTTCCCAGTTTTGCACTGATTTTGGATTGTTACGAAGAAATGGGATACAGTCAGGAAAACAATAAATGGGATACCGCTATGCCCCAACATACTCCAAAGATATCTGATACTACAGTCGAATTGGGAAGCAATACTCCAGAAAAAAAAAACATGATTGCATCGTTCTGCTGGATGGTGGCTCTGGTTGTAAAACTTCATATAGTAGCGCAGGCAATGTAAACAAAGGAGCCATAGAAGAACATTACCAAAACAGTTGACTGAGGAGTCAATTGGCCATGCAAAGCACACAGAAGTAAAGGGTCATTTCAAGTCTAGAAAACTGGGGTATGGAATCAAAGGATGCAAAGAAACGGTGGTATGTATCTTCTGTGAGAATATTGTCACGTGACAGAAGGATGTATGGCCAAGTTAATCACTAAAATCTGTATAATCATAAGAAGATGAATGTGCTAGCGCTGCTGTAAGTACAGGATGGGATATATCGGTCTGAGTTGGAAAAGGGTTTCTACCTGATGTTTGACTGGAACTAGAAGCGGACGGCTATAGACTATGATGTATATAAACTCTTTGACTGTTGATGTCAGTTCCTAACCATGAGAGAGGTGAAGTACTAGTTCAGAGCACTGGGCTAAAGTATCAGCGGCAATCATAGTTCATGTGGCATGCCTTATTACCTGCTAAAGGTAGCCTGGTGGGAATATAGTTGGTGTTACATAGGCAACTTTTGAGGTTGGGGGAAACAAAGGACTACAGGTTTTCTGTCAAAGTATTAGTTAGACATAAAGCAAATGGGTTCAAGACTTCATTTGGTGAACTGGTGTATGGTGTTGCAAGAAGAGGACAAAGAACAGTTTCAAAACAACCAATACTGATAGATGGTGACTTCGATATTATCAAAAAAAGATTATAAGAACATATCTAGAAGGGGCTCTAAGAGGATTTTCCTTTTTATGATCATTGAAACAAAAGATTTAAGTGAAATTGATTTAATAGAAAACCAACTGTGCTTCTTCTACTAGATAACATTATATAAGATGTGCTATTCAAATAAACCAAGGTCCTTTTATGTTCAAAACTATGTTGGTTCTCAGGAGGAATTGTTGCGAGAGGCACTACCGAAACAGATAAGATAATTGCCGAGTAGTCGAGGGTTTGCAGTGCATTCCATCGAGAACTCGACAAACATCCTATTTACCCAGTGTTTTTAATTCAACACTCGGCAAACATATAGCACTCAGCAAGAAAACCCAACTTTACTTAGTGTCTAATAAAAACACTCAAAGAAACTACAACGAAAACACTTTCGCAAATACGGACACTTTCTCACGGCAAAGTAGAGGCACGTATTTGGGCATGCGGCGGTCATGTGACGGCCTGCGTTATGCGCCAACAAGTTATAACTTTACCGAAAGTGTCCGTTAGAGACACTTTCAGAAAGACAAGGTTTGCCGAAAGTTTTTTATTGACACTTGGCAAACTGATGTTGTTGCTGAGTGTTTTTTATTGACACTCTGCAAAATAATATTTTTTCCTCTCCGCCCTCCAAACTTTTCTACTTCTCCACATACAACATGTGGTACTACATGTTAAAATTTGGCATATTTCTCAATCTGTTTGCTATATTTAATTAATTTATTGTATTTAGAGGAATTTTTTGGTTTAAGTCAAATTTGAACTACAAGTGATTCAAATAATGGAATAATTGTGTGGAGAAATCATATTCATGTTATTGAGTCCATTTTGGGGCCTTACTCAGAAATGAAAAGAAATTTCTCGAACATTTTGTTCAGAACACGACTACGAACGTTAATGGTTGAATGGTTTTAAATTCTAAAAAACAAACGAAGTCTGAAAATGACGAGATTTGTCAAGATCTCATGATATCATACGTGGAGACTGGAAAAATTGAGAAGGTTTCGCACAATTTGTCACGTCATTTACATTTACAAAACCAAGCATCTCTCGGCGAAGAATCGTAGCGTTGAGAAGGATCCTAAGATTTGGAGTCAAAGTGATGTTAGATTGGTTCACATTAAATTTGGTAATTTTTCGGATCCGCTTTGATAATTTTAATTTATTAAATGTAATTATAGAATTTTAATTGATATAAATTGAATTTGAGCTATAACT